TTTGCAAACTTTTTCAAGTGTGAGTGCTGGTTGCGCGAGGTTCGGTTTTTGGGGCATCTTGTCAACCAGAACGGTATTATGGTCGGCCCAGCCAAGATCGAGGCCGTGATGAGGTGGGAGGTTCTGAGGTATTCATCTGAGATTTGGAGTTTCCTTAGTTTTTGGCAGGTTACTATCAGATATTCAATTAGGATTTCTCCAAGATAGCAGTTCCACTGACTCGATTGATAAAGAAGACCATCACTTTTCGTTGGGGGCCTGAGCAGCAGGTAACTTTTGAGACTTTGAGGTAAAGGTTGTGTTAGCCGTCGATTTTGACCCTGCCGAAGGGTGTTGAGGACTTTGTGGTTTATATAGGTTTGGGTGCAGTGCTAATCCAGAGAGGTCACGTGATCGCTTACGCCTCGAGGTAGCTGAAGCCTCATGAGGCGAATTATCTGATGCATGATTTAGAGCTGGAGGTTGTGGTTTTCCCCATAAAGATTTAGTGATATTACCTCTATAGGGTCTGTTGTACCATTTACACGGATCACAAGAGCCTGAGGTATCTGATGGATCAGCATAATCTAAATATGAGGCAGCACCGATGGTTGGATGTGGTGAAGGATTTTGATTGTGAGATCATTTACCATCCGGTTAAGGCCAATGTGGTGGACGATGCTCTTAGCCGCAAGGAAGTTGCGGCTTCGATCATGCATATTTGTTCAAGGATGACCATGATTACTCTGCTTTTGGAGTGTATTCGAGAGCCTCACGTCATGGCTATAAAGGAAGAGCACCGGAAGAGTGAATGCATAGTGGGCCAAGTGGCTTCCTTTTATTATGATAGTCGAGGGTTATTGACTCTCCATCGGAGAGTGTGAGTTCTATATTGGGGTGGTGTGAGTCAGGTTCTGATGAAGGAGGCACACAAATCAAGATTCTCTATTCATCCCGGGGCGGCAAGATGTATATAGATCTTCGTCCTGATTATTGGTGGCTATGTATGAAGCGGGATGTAGATTGGTACGTGGATAGGTGCTTGACTTGGAGGAAAGTCAAAGCCGAGCATCAGCGTTCTCACGAAAATATGCAGCCGTTAGAAATTTCCGTTTGGAAATGAGAGGAGATTACCATGGATTTCATTATGAAGTTTCATGGGACTGCGCATGGAGTGGATTCGATTTGGGTCATTGTGGATCGATTGACTAAGAGTGTGCATTTTATTCCAATCAGGAAAGTATCTCTACGGAGAAGTTGGTCAATATATACATCGGGGAGGTCGTGGCATGGCATGGGGTGCCGGTTTCTATGGTTTCAGATAGGGACGTCCAGTTTACTTCCACATTTTGGAAGAGGCTCCACGACGAGTTGGGTACTTGCCTGCATTTTAGCATGAATTTCCACCCACAGACTGACGGTCAGAGCGAGCGGACTATTCAAACCATAGAGGATAAGCTTCGGGGTTGTGTTTTGGATTTTGGTGGATGTTGGGATATGTATCTCCCTTTGGTGGAGTTTTCATATAACAACAGTTATCACACTAGCATTGATCCACCTCCTTTTGAGATGCTCTATGGGAGGAAATGCATGACCCCGACATGTTGGGGTGAGGTCGGTAAACGAATCATAGGGAGTACTAAAGTGGTACTCAAGACTACCGAGTTTATCCAGCAGGTTTGGAGTAGACTCCAGACAGCTCAGAGTTGGCAGAAGTGTTATGCCAACAAGCACCGATTAGATCTAGAGTTTTAGGTTGGGGATATAGTTCTCCTGAAGGTGTCACCTTGGAAAGGTGTCATCCGATTCAAGAAGATGGGCAAATTAGGCCCCAGGTACATCGGTCCTTTCAGGGTTTTCGCCCGGGTGGGTCAGGTTTCTTATCGCTTGGATCTACCTGAGGATCTTAGTCAGATCCATAGCATGTTACATGTCTCTCGGTTGTGGAAATGTTTAGTGGATAATTCTGTGGTGGTTCCATCATAGGGTATTCAGGTGGATGATCTTCTAAAATCTATCGAGAGAATAGTGGTGGTTCTAGACCTCTAGATGAAAACTTTGAGGAACAAGGTTGTTGAGTTGATGAAAGTTCAGTGGCGGCATCCCAAAGGTTCGGAATAGACGTAGGAGTCGGAGTACGAGATGAGGGAATCAGAGGATGAGATGAGGGAGCACTACCCAGAGTTGTTTAGGCAAGCAGACATCAAGTACGAAGTCTGATTCAAGTGGGGGAGAATTAGGTATGTTTCCTTTAGCCCCTTAATGCCAAAATCATTTCATTATTAGTCCCCAGCTAGTACGCATGGTGTACTCTGAGTACGCTTAGCGTTCTAGCTCAAGTTTAGATCACGTGTTCACCTACGTAAGCGTGGCCTACGTAAGAGTATGCATGATGTACGTGGTGCAGGGGAAAAACCTAATTTTTAGGGTTTAAACCCCATTTAAACAACTTATAAACACCTCTGGACATTTCATTGATCAGCCTCCATCACCCTATGCCCTAACATCGAAAACCTAAGTACTTTTGGTGAGTTTTGAGCTTGAAAGTGTGTTTGTTGGTGTTTTGTGGTGAAGAAGAATAAGAGGAACACTTGGAGGTTGCTTGGGAATAGCTTGTGCTTGTAGATCTAGAGTTATCTTCACCTTAGCAAGCCTTTTTAGGTAAAAAATCTCTCATTTTGATGGTCCTTTATTCTAGATCCATTTTATGGTGTTATTTATGCATTTTGGGTCTTTTAAGTCATATATGAAGTTATGGTCTACTCCAGAAGCTATGGATGTTAGATCTTTGTTCATATGACCTACCTTGTCGATAAAAATGCAACCTTTATGTAAGATATTGGTCCATACAAGTGTTAAGAGTCTTATTAAGCTTCTTTTTAAGTGTTGGGCCCCATTTAAAACATGCATGGGTGTAAAGTTGTCAACTTTACGTATTAATTCGCCATTGAGAATGAGATCTCAAAGTTTAGCATGTTGGCTTAACCAATTAAGTGCTTAATGGGTTAGGTTGGTAATATGGGGAGTACGTTGGGCGTACCCAGCTGGTACATTGCGCGTACTAGCCCCGGAAGGAGTACGCTAAGCTTACGAGCTGAGTACACCCTGAGTACTCAGCACATTGACTTTTGGGTTGACTTTTGTGAATTTGGGCCATATCTTGGTCTTTTACGGTTTGGGCCTTTTTGGGCCATTGGATTTCTGACTTTGGGTCATGGATGGACTATGGACTTTCTTGGGATTAGGTCCATGATGATTTTCGGGCCTAATTAGGAAGTTGGGCCTTATTAGGCCTTGTGATGTCATTTAGGAATTTGGGCCTCTTGAGAAAATGGGTTGGGACTTGGTTTTTGGTTCAAGTAAGAAAAATGGTAAAATGGTCTTTCACCGTGGAGATTGGACAAGTAACTTAGATTCTTGATTATGGGTCGAGGTCCAATTATTAATTGGATATTATTTGATGATGTTAGCGCGAGGATTTTTCCGGACCAGTAGACTGACAGCTTAAGATGAGTTTCCTCATTATGTTTAGCGGGTTAAAGGCACCAATGTCAGCCCATGGTCTGATATATTAGGATACTAGTTAGATGTGTGACTCTTGCATGTGTTATGTTTTTATATGTTTATCGGGCAAGGCCCAGTGACTATCATGTATGCTATTTATCTTTGTGAATATTGTTTGTGTTTATATGTTTATATGTATATCGCACAGAGCCCGATGCCAAGCAAGGCCTAATGACTAACAAATCTATTTACCGAGCGGGGATCGATGTCGGGAGGAGCCCAATGATGGGTTGGGCCCATTATATGTTTGATATGTATGGTATGTGGTACTTTGGAAAACTCGCTAATATGTGTGCTTACGGTTTTCAATTTGTGTTTCAGGTACTTCTGGTTCGAAGGGGAAGATCCTAGGATGATTGCAGTGCACAAACCATATTGTTTTGCCTTTTATATTACTCTGATGTATTTGTATGTTATTGATACACTAGATTCACCATGGTTTCTATGATGTTGTTTTAAATACTGGTTTTATTAATTAAATATCAAAATTTTAATCTTAATTTTTGGGACATTACAGAGTCTAATTCAATATTTCCCCTGAGTCTGATGTAAATTACAGACGTGAACTATTGATTTGAATAAATATACATATGAAGAACTTTCTCAACATACTTACATAATTTACAGATTATATGAATATGTAACTGTTTTTGTTAAAATTTGGCTTAGTAGTTATGTAACCAAATTAATAAATGTGGTGTGATGTTTTCGATAATGATCTTAGAAAAAAAAAAAAAAAAAAAGGTTTTAGAGTGCTTAATATTTTGAAGGATGCTTAAGATCTTGAAAGATCTTGAGATTGATCTAGAAATGTAAATGTTTGTAGTATGATTCTAAGTAAAAGAAGCTTCACATTCAAGATATATACTTATAAAATGGGGGAAAATTATAGTGTTAATTTTGAAAATATGAAGAAAATGTTAAAAAGGATAGTAACATATTCAAAAATGTCAAGATATTGTAATGTATGGGAAGATAAATGTCTTGTGCCAAAGATTTATGTATGTATTAATATGTTTAACAACATTTGTGAGTTATGATAAAGTTGCCATTATATATAAATGTAAGATGAATATTGTCCTACAAATCCTAGATATACTCCTACTCTTGCTTGACCGGGTTTTTCAGGGAAACTCAATGTTTTTTCTCATTGTCCTCGTGCTTTATTGACTTAGTCCATGCTTCATGAGATAATCTTTTAGTAATACAAAGATCAATCACAAGGAATACTATGGCAGGTCCAAGATGTTGGCTAGTTCAAAAGATCTTGGACCATTCAACATGTTAGTGCATATTCAAGATGTTAGCGATAATAAAAGAAAGGGAAAAACTCAAAAAAAAAAAAAAAAAAAAAAAAAAAAAAAAAAAAAAAACCCTATATATTATACCTTAATGCTTAAAAAAACTCCTATATAATTTTTATGTACGCATTAACCATTATGATTTCCAAAACCGTCCTATTTTATCCGGTAAAAAAACCCCCTTTAGCCCAAAACTTCTTCAATTTTGTTTTTGATTTGGTTCTCGGGTTTCACATGTGATGTTTCAATCTCGATGGTGGATGCTGGAAATTAAAAAACGAAGAAGCAGATACCTGCCATTTTCCATCTCTCCCAAACTCTCTCTAGTCTCTCTAGGTGTACACCACCTTAAATCACCCATTCCACCACCACTCTACCACCATACAACCTCCCAAACACCACCCTCACATCCCTTTTCCCTTTCCCCTCACTGTTGCTGCAAAGAAAAAGGGATGGAAGCTCAAACCCGTCCCCTCCTGCCACCTTCAAACGTCCACTGCACCACACTTTCTCCACTAATAAACCATCCCCCTCTCGTCGGAACTGCCAACAGAAAGAAGAAACGAAGGCATCAACACCAAACTGCCACCTCCGTCACCTCCCATGTCGCAGCTCCAAATTAACCACCGCCATCACCGCCTCTTGCTTCTGCTACTCCACCCCGTAAGTCCCTCCACACTCCGTGCATCGAAGCCCAATAGAAATAAGCCAGAAAAGGCGGCAGAAGACCACCGGAGTGGCCTCTTGCCACCCTCGCTGCCGCTGCTGCTAACAGCCGACCACCACCGCCAGTTTGTATCTCCGCCATCGTAAGTCCTTCCTCCCTTCATCTCCTTGCTCGATATTACCCCTTCACGCCTTAAGGAGAACCACAGAACCATTTTGTGTATTTTTTTATTGTCGTAATCGTTTACAAACGAAGGAAACAATTATGTTTTCGATTTGGTTCTCGGGTTTCACGTTTGATGTTTCAATCTCGATGGTGGATGTTGGAAACTAAAAAACGAAGCAGGCTTAAGGTCTCAATAGTGCCGATTGAAGACACAAAAAAACGAACACAGTTTTACTTTTATTCTTTTCTTGTTCTGTTTACTGATTCATCTTTCTACTTTCTGTTTATTTTATTTTTTTCCGGTTTGTGTTGCAGGTTTGTGAGGTTTGAGACGAAGGAGATGATGAACAGTGGGCTCTGTGAGGGTGTTGGTCTCCGGTTCTGTGATTTTTTTTTATTCTTTTCTTTCTTCTTCATCCAAAACCACAAGGAAAACAAATATCCTTCTCTTCTTTTATGTGGTTCTCGGCAAAACAGAATGGAGGAGGTGAGCTGGGTTTCGGTTAATGGTGGTTCGTGGTTGGGTGGCAGCCGGTGATCTCGGCTGTGGGAGTGAACCGAAAAACACAGCAGCAGAGACAGCAAGGTGTTCAAGAGGTCCTTATGAAGAGGATGATGAATAATGGTTAATGTTGTACAAAAGTTGTGGTACGGAGGCTAACCTGTCACAAAGATAAAAGATTGAAAACAGTCAAAGTTACAAATCATAATGGTTAATGGATACAAAAAAAATTATATAGGGTTTTTTTTTAAGTATTATGGTATAATACATAAGGTTATTCTGAGTTTTTCTCTAAAAGAAAACTAGAAATATTGCCCATAACAAATCCCCAATAAATTTCTAATTCAAGAACTTGGAAATTTGATATATCTAGAATTTAATTTATGTCGTTAGATGGTGATGGGACATGACCACTTTATCTAGGTTTGATCTTATTCATCCATGTTCCTATGAAATTCAAATATTGTAAGGCCAGATTTTTGCTTGGAAAATCCCTTATAAATTCAAATTTTTTCTCATATTTCCTGGACTTGCTATCAAGAGGTTTTACTCAAGTTTTGTAGGTAAATTTTATTCTCTAGAATTTTCTTATATCATCATTCTTATTCTCTTTCTCATTCTATGCGTAAAAATCTTACCAGATCTAGGGATAAGGCTGAAGTGCCAATTTTTGAAGACTTCACCGATTTGGGTATGTCACCTCAGGATGAAAGTGAGATTTGTTTGTACTCAAATGTCGAGATCGAACTTGTTCGATCATCTAGGAAGTTTCTCAATGGTTCTGTCTTCAGAGTTTGTGGTACCAAAATAAAATTTGATTTCTTATCCCCAACATGGATTTGATTTTATGATTTTCCTTTCTCAATCGGGCTTTCTTTCCTTTTTCCATCTTTGATCTCTAGGTTGTATGAAGTCACTCAATTCGCCTATGCCCAAATCATGCTAGTGGTTTGGCGTATTCTATATTGGGTGGTTCATCGTAACGAATTGGAGGGTCTGAATCTTGGTTTACTCAAGATAGGAAATACCTATGATCTTCGTACCTTTGGTTTTTTTTATGTGTATTTTTAAGATAAAATCACTAAAAAATCATTTGATTCTTAAGAGGGTGCTTGGATAAATTAGCTTATACAGTTTTTGCGAAAATGTTTGTGGTGGAAATAAGCAATAAGCTTTGATTAAATCAAAGGGGAATGCTTATCAGCTTATTTAGCTTATTCTCACCACAATAAGCTGATTTTTAAGGATTCTTATCCAAACACTTAAATTTAGCTTATTGTGGTAGGAATAAGCAATAAACACCCTTTTTTTTCCAATCCAAACACCCTCTAAGATTTCCTCTGCCAATTTGGAAGAAGAAGTAGTTTTTTGTCAACAGATACTCTCTTGATCATGGAGATTCTTTGCCTAAAGATTAGGTGACTAAGGGTGTAATTTCTATTTCTAGGGTTTTTAATAGGGTTTTTCCTTAGATATTAACCTAAGTGTCTATTATATCTTGAATAGTTCCAGAGTTTGAAGAACTATTTCACCTTGAGGAAGATACTGAGAAGAAGGTTCAAGAATTTTTAAAATTTTCAGCGTAGAAAATTAGTTTTAAGATCTTAGTGGATTGTTCTTCAAAGGAAGATCATGGTACATCTTTATTAGTTAGAAATCCTGAGCCTATTAGCATGTCTACTAGTATGTCATTTTAATATGATTCTTGCGTTATGATTTCATCTTGGCTTAACTTCTTCCTTTTAGGGTCTCAACTTACTCAATCAGGTTCAACATTTTCCACTTTCAATGTTGAGAACTTTTTAACCAATGATCCCTCTATAAAAATCGAAAACACATATGCTCCATGTCTCGGGGGGGGGGGGGGGGGGGGGGGCTGAAGCTACAAATCCTGATCCTAAGAAGAGGAAGCTTACTTTGGATCTTGGTCAGGAAGTTTTTTGAGGGTCTAGGCCCTTTTGAAATCAAACAAAAGTTCATCATTCTAACCCAAACTATAAGTTATATTATACTATATTAAATGTGTTTTATTTTATGAACTTTTCAATTTACAAAAAAGGTTTCTTCTTCAGGATACTACCCTCATGTTGAAGGGCATCGAGGAGATCAAAAAAGATTTTGAGGCCTCGAAGAGATAGTTGGAGATCAAGATGTTCGAAAAAAGAAAGAATGGATAAAGAAAAGAGAAATATTTTGGGCTCAAGATTAAAGGTCTTCCTACCAATATTAAGGAGGTATCAAAGACAGGTTTTGATCTTGAGGATAGGATTGAGGAGATAACCAATGAGGCGAAGGGTTTTACTATGCGGTTTGAAAATGTTGAATGTTGAGGATGAGGCATGTGAATAGGTTGAAGAGGTGGGTGAAAGTGAAGATACGATATGAGAAGGAGAGAAGGAGGTTAAAGATGTTGAGGACCCGAAGATTGTTGATGGTGCAGCCCCTTGAGGGTTTTGTTTGTTTGAATTTCTTATTGATTATGCTAAAAACTTTTATCTTTTGTTTATGTTTAAAGACAATATTTTGGGTTGTAATGGTTTAATTAGGTTTCAATATGCTCAAGGGAGCATAGTATTTTAACCTTTTGAATATTATCTAACATATAGAATATCTTGGTTGTTAACTACTTGAAAAAGTCCTATTTATCGAATCCTAAGAAGCTAAAGTAAATAGATTTTGGAGGAATGTATTTTATAAATCTTTAAACATTGTTAAGAAAATTTTCTTAGTTTTTGTTGAAAATGGTAAAAAGTTTTAAGTCTTCATGTCTCTGAAAGAATGAATTTTTATCGAAAATACTATATTTGAAAAAGGTTAGTTGAAAAGTATTCAAGATTAATGTTGTGGCTGAAAACTTATGACTAACATGATCTTGACTAAGATCTTGGTCTATCATCAGCAGGATTCAAAGTAAACATGTTCAAGATGTTGGATAAGATCTTAGTCGAGATCTTGGGCAAGATCTTTACTAAGATCTTAGTCAAGATCTTGATCAAGATCATGAAGGGTACTAAATTAATTCATTATTCTATCTTTTATTCTCCTGTATGATTCAGGTGTTGAAAACGTCAATGAAGACCCAACCAAATCGGAATTATCATAGGAAACATGAAGAAAAGACTTGGTCATTAGGAAATCCAAGATAAGAGAAGACTGATCATCAAGAATCTCATAAGAGAATATTTTAGAATCGATTAAGTAGTTCAATTACTAAGAAATCATGACTATCAAGTAAGAATGAAATTTAATATCGAGACGTATATAATTTTATGTTTTTTTTCAATAAGAGTAAGACACTCAATTACCTCAACAACTGTAAGAACGTGTAAAAGACCGACTCTCTCAAACTACTAACATCCATATTTATAGGTGAACGATAAAGGAGTCGGTTAGATGATAACCAATAAGGTTATGACACCTAAGTTGTGACCGAAGATACAAAAATTTAAGTATGATCACTTCGAAACTTAAGGTGATCAATTTTGAAACTAACATTACAAAGAAGACAAAGTATTGCGGTTATAGCTTTCGCAAAAGACTAATACACAACATCTACTAAATTTCGAGCCCTAACATTTTGTTTTGCTCATGATGCATGCATTTAATTAGTTAGTCCATGTTTCCATATTTCTAGCTAGTGGCCTATTTTGGCTATCGTCCCATGATTTGCCATTAAGTTTAGCAGTAGTACATAACTTGCATCTTTAGATTCATGTATTGCATCTTTTATGAAATCAAGCTGAAACTTGTTCCAAGTCTCGTTTCTTCTCTATGTTGTTCTTATTAGGAGACTCGTCATCTCAAATTAGCCTCTATCATAAACCCTTCGATTTCAAGATCAAGTAGAAAATTTGAAAGGTAATTCTTAACCCTAGAATGTGATGTTTCTTGAAAAGTCAATTTCATGTTGAATTTGGAAGTAGGCTCTTGAAAACATGTCTTGTAGTGAATTAGAAAACATCAAAGAATCAATAGTTCGGAATTTTTAAACATGAAGCTTCATAAGGTGTGTATATGTGTGTAATTTGAGTTGTATGGGAGGTAAGGAAGTAGAAGAAGGGGTGGGGAAGGTGGGGGTGGTTTTTTCCTTTACTGATGTGTCAAGAGGGTCAAGTGAAAAGGATACATGGGGTTTGCTAACGGAATACGTTAACAAGTGTTATCTCCAAGACCAAATCCTCAATGAAACCTCGTTTTTTGGATGTAATCTACAAGGTGGAATGTTGTTGGACCAAATCCAAATAACAGAAGAAACCACATGAACCAATTTTGCAATTTTGTCTAAAATAAATGTTTGATTGGTATGGTTTTAATTTTGCCATTGATAGTAGGTTAGAACTTCATTAACCATGGTTATGTTGGTTAATGTAATGTCTGTGTTTCCAGGCTTGCCATTTTTAGCGATGTAATAGTCTAGGTTAACCTTTGTAACCCGTTTTGAAATAATAAGATTGTATTATTTGAGTATTATGTGTTTTGTGCTTAATTGCTTAATTATGTGGTTTGATTAATTAAGAATAAAAATAAGCGTCAAAATTTAAGTATAAAATAAACTTGATATCTTTAGATAATGTTGTAGTAGTTGAAACAAGGTTTCCGAAGATATAAAGAATACCGAAATCCGAGTTATAATGAGGAAATTATGACCTGTCGAAGTTTCGCGACAGAACCGGCACCGCAGAATAACGTAAAAAGTGAAATTTATGTTAGAGTGATATTTAGCCTTAGTGATCTAAACAAGAATCGAAGATCTCGTTGTTAGTATCAAAGCGATAAAAAGTTAGGCGAGAACGGACGTCAAACGAAGAAGTTATGAATTTATAACGAAATTTTCTGTCCCGGCCTATTAAAAATAAATAATAAAAATAAATTCAAAATTAGCCGACAGAGTCTAAACGAAAGTTGTAGAGCGTAGTCTCACCTTTTTGTGGATATAAAGAACGTCAAAAACGGAGTTCGTATGAAGAAGATATGAATTCCGAAGTTTATTAATTAATTTGTATTTATTTTTAAATCAAAATTCGGAAGCATTATCCGAAGGCGAGTCACAAGTCTGATCCGACTTACGCGCCGCGTACAGCCAAAGTGTCAACACTTCGGATGACGCATGCAATGACGCATTTCGGAAGCAGTACGCGCTGCGTACTGCTGTACGCCCCGCGCAACTCGGGCTTCCAGCCTCTATAAAAAGGATCGGAAGGCAGCCGAAAGTTTTGTTCATTTCTTCTCTTCTCTCTCCCGTTTTGCATCGTTTTGCGTGCCAGAAATACCCTGAAGCCCCGGTAATATTCCCGAGTCCCGAAGCGAGTCCCGAGATCCCGAAGATCCCGAGAAGTGCGGTTTCCGAGCCGAAGCTCTGCCCGCGAGAAGTTCGATTTTTGTGGAGATCTTCCAAATCTGCTGTGGATTACTACTTCTGCAAGCTGTAGTGCTGTCCGATCATCTTCTGATCAAGTGAGTGTATACTACCTTTCATAAACGCAATAATAATACAAGTATGGTTTGAGTGTATTAAGTTTATTGTCGTTTATACGTGTGAATGCGTTGTTACTTTCTCCTAACGTATAACTATAAAGTATTTTATACGAGATACGTGTTATGTGTATATTTTGTTGTTATGTGTGTGAATGTATATTCACTTTCTTCTATCTTACAGATATGATTATTTCTATATGAAATACGTGTTATGTGTGTGTGCCTCATCTGTTATATGGAAAATGTATTGATCAAGCATGCTATACAGGTTTTGAAAATATGTATAAAAATGTATGTTTTTATCTACTAATATGTTGGGTAGAACATGGGTAGATAGTTGGTGTGTAATAAACAGATGAGAGGCCTCG